TTTTTTTTTTCATTAGAAAAGACAACAAGAAAACAACTTACATCAATAAATTTAATCTGTTTAATTCATAATTCTGAATTTGAATGTGAGACCACAGCTTCAAAACACATTGTACACAATCTGACAGACTGATTGGTTTACAGTAGAATTTAATATTTCCCCAATCATTACAAGTAAGCTAATAATCAGTAATAAGTTCCTATTCAATTAATTAATAAAAAACTATTATGTTATTAAAGATATTATTTCATGTAAAAAAAATCAACAATAAGAATTACAAAGATAGTTACACTACAATGATTACATTCTGTCTTTATGTTAATGTGACTTTTATAAGTTACTGCTAAATGATGGCGTCAATAAATGCTGGATTTTCCCTGTAGCAGTGGGAGTAGGATGCACTGCAACTCTAACACCAACTTCAGTGGCAGCTGGAGCCCCAACTGCAACAACATTAACTTTATGTCTTTCTTATTTGCAGCTCATATATTATGTTTTTCTTTAGTCCATCTACTAAACAACACATACTCAAAAAATGATTACTATTACTCTTATTCTTCTAATATATTTTTCTTGTAAATGAGCTGCTCATAAATGTTATTTTTCATTGATTATTACTGTGTAACACAATCATTTAATTTGCTTTTCAAAGTTACAGATTTTGCTTTCAAACCAGCTGCAAGTCCCATAAAACCTCCAACTAACGCTCCTACTGCAGCCCCCACTGTAGCCCCCACTGTAGCCCCCACTGTAGCCCCCACTGTAGCCCCCACTTTACCCCCTATGGCTCCAACACGAGCTCCAAGACCAATTCCAGCACCAATTCCAGCACCAATACCAGCACCAATACCAGCACCAGCACCAGCACCAGCTCCAACATTATCAGCTCCCATAATGACAGCATCCCAACTCCCCTGAGTAACCTCGTTCCTTCTTTCTGCTTTGTATCTTGCTTCTTTGGCTGTCATCTCTGGATTTTCTTTCCGAAGTCGTTCCATTTCTGTTTTTATGGCTTTCTCTGCCTCTTCAAACATATTGGTGGTGTAGCATCCTCCTTTTCTTTCAGTCAGATTGTTGATTTCCTTCAGCACCTCAGAGGGATCCTTGTTTCGGCTGTTAAAAACATGATATCCTCCACGGCACTGACTGATAAAGTCTTTGAGATCTGGATGTTT